TGGAGTTAGCAGCCATTGTTCACGCGCTGAAGATTTGGAGGCACTATTTGTATGGCGTGTCATGTGAGGTGTTCACAGATCACAAGAGTCTGCAGTATTTCTTCAAGCAGAAGAAACTAAATTTGAGGCAGAGAAGGTGGTTGGAGATGTTGAAAGACTATGATACCACCATCTTATATCATCCGGGGAAGGCCAATGTGGTGGCCGATGCTTTGAGTAGAAAGTCAGCCAGTATGGGCAGTCTTGCGTATATTCCGATCGGTGAGAGACCGCTTGCTTTGGATGTTCAGCCTTTGGCCAATCAGTTCGTGAGGTTGGATGTTTCAGAGCCCAGCCACGTGTTAGCTTACACAGTCGCTCGTTCCTCATTATTTGAGAGTATCAGAGATCGGCAGTATGATGAACCTCATTTGTGTGTCCTTAGAGACACAGTGCGGCACAGAGGTGCCAAGCAGGTTACAGTTGGAGATGATGGAGTGTTGAGGATGCAGGGTCGTATTTGTGTGCCTAATGTGGATGGACTTCGAGAGTTGATTCTAGAGGAGGCCCATAGTTCCCGGTACTCTATTGATCCGGGCGCCACTAAGATGTATCAAGATTTGCGGTAGTATTATTAGTGGAGGAGGATGAAGAAGGACATTGTTGCCTATGTAGCTCAGTGTTTGAATTGTCAGCAGGTAAAGTATGAGCATCAGAGACCTGGTGGTTTGTTCCAGAAGATTGAGATTCCTGAGTGGAAGTGGGAGCATATCACTATAGACTTTGTTGTTGGACTCCCACGGACTCAGAGGAAGTTCGACGCAGTATGGGTTATTGTTGATAAGATGACCAAGTCAGCGCATTTCATTCCTGTGGTGGTTTCTTATTCTTCTGAGAGGTTAGCTGAGATCTACATCCGGGAGATTGTTCCTCTTCACGGTGTGCCCGTGTCTATCATTTCTGACCGAGGTACGCAATTTACCTCATATTTCTGGAAGGCAATTTGGCATGATATGGGCACACGGGTTGAGTTGAGCACAACATTTCATCCTCAGACGGACAGGCAGTCCGAGCGTACTATTCAGATTTTGGAGGATATGCTCCGAGCTTATGTTATAGACTTTAGAGCTTGTGGGATCAGTTTTTTCCTTTAGCGGAGTTTGCTTACAACAACAGCTACCAGTTGAGCATTCAGATGGCTTCTTATGAGGCTTTATATGGTAGGCGGTATCGGTCGCCGGTTGGTTGGTTTGAGCCGGGAGAGGCTCGGTTGTTGGGTATGGATCTAGTGTAGGATGCCTTGGACAAGATCAGGATTATTCAGGATAGGCTTCGTACAGCTCAGTCCAGGCAAAAGAGTTATGTCAATCGTAAGGTTCGTGATGTGGCATTCATGGTCGGCGAGCGGGTGTTTCTTCGGGTGTCGCCTATGAATGGCGTAATGAGATTTGGGAAGAGGGGCAACCTTAGCCCTGAGTCATTGGCCTGTTTGAGATTCTTGATCGAGTGGGAGAGGTGGCTTACAGACTTGCGTTTCCACCGAGTTTATCAGCCGTGCATCTAGTGTTTCATGTGTCCATGCTTCGGAAGTATCGCGGCGACCCATCCCACGTGTTAGACTTCAGCACTATCCAGTTGGACAAGGACTTGTACTATGAGGAGAAGCCGGTAGCTATTCTAGACCGGCAGGTTCGTCAGGTGAGATCGAAGAGTTTCCCTTCTGTTCGTGTTCAGTGGAGATGTCAGCCTATTAAGGCAGCGACCTGGGAGTCCGAGTATGACATGCAGAGCCGATATCCCCGTCTTTTCTCCGACTCAGATTCTTCTTTTCTATGTCCGTTCGAGGACGAACGGTTGTTTTAGAGGTGGAGGATGTGATGACCCTTGGGTCATCACTCGTTTTGAAAGTAAATTCTGTGTTCCAAGGCCTTAAAAACCTCTTTTTGTCCTACCTCGATTTTGCGTGCACAGTCCGGGCACGTTTCCGGAAAGTTTTTATGTGAAAAACTAAGTAAAATATGGAAATTGGCTTTTAAAATTAAATAAAGTTGACTTTGGTCAACACTCTTGGTAAACGGGCCCGGACCCGTGATCTGACGGTCTCGTATGGTCCGTAGTAAAATATGGGACTTGGGCGTATGCCCGGATCGAATTCCGAGGTCCCAAGCCCGAGAAGTGAATAAATGCACTTTCTTGGTGGTATCGGGCCCGTATCTTGATTTCGGAGCCCGGTACAAGTTTGAAATAATGATTAAGTTGAATCTGTATAATTTGGTAAAGATCGAAATTGGTTTGGTATAAAACGGACCTATAGTTGAGAAAATAGTAATTTTGATGTTCTTGAGTGATTTTATGAATTTGAGGTTTAATTCATAAATATTGATATTATTTTGATGATTTGATCGCACGAGCAAGTCTGTATGATGTTTTTGGACTTGCGTGCATGATTGGTTTGGAACCCCGAGGGCTCGGTTGAGTTTTGGATAGGCCACGAGGTGTATTTAGACTTAGAAAATATCTGTTGCAGGTTCAAAGAAGTTGCAGATCTTTGAACCAGGCTTCGCGGTCCGCAGTAAATCTTCGCGACCGCGGTGGAATTCTATGCGGTCCGCGGTGAGCAAGGCTATGTCTTTGCGGCCGCGCTCGATATTTCGCGGTCTGCGGTGGAGCTCCGCGGCCGCGGTCCTTTTCATGCGGTCCGTGGTGAGGGTCTGAGAGGAGTATATAAACGGGACTTTTCAGCCATTTTTTATTTTTCAAAAACCTAAAACATAAGAGGCGATTCTTCAAACACTCTTTCTTCCCCAAAACACAAGTAAGTGATTTTAAACTCATTTCTTTCACTCCTTAACTTCTTTTTACAAGATTTCATCCTAGAATCTAGGGTTTTCATGGTGGAATTGGGAATTTTGGGTAGAACTTAGGAATATTCAAATTTGGGGATTTGGACATCAAATTGAGGTCGGATTCCAAAACCAATTGTATACCCGGTCTCGGGGGTGAATGGGTAATCGGGTTTTGGTCTGCATTTCGGGTTTGGACCAAGCGGGCCCGAGGGCCGATTTTTGGCTTTTTGGGGAAATCATTTGAAAAACTATTTTCATGCATTAGAATTGATTCATTTAGCATTTATTAATAGTATTAATTAAATTGTGGCTCGATATAAGCGAATTGGTGGTGAAAACAAGAGGTAAAGCGGTAGTTGAGGCTTGAATTGTGTTCGCGGCATCGAGGTAAGTGTTTGGTCTAACCTTAGCTTGAGGGAGTAGGAGTTGTGTCTTGTTTGCTATGTGTTAATTGTTGAGTACGACGTATAGGCATGGTGACGAGTATCTATACGTCGGTGTTAAGCATGCCCGTGAGTCTTATACTATGATAAATGTGCCTCCGTTACGTATTGTTTATGCTTTATAAGATGATATCTATTGTTGAACATGATTTGTGGAAGTATTATTGGAAATCGAACATTGAAGAGCGTTGGCTCGAGTTGTAAAATGATTTGTGGAAGTATTAATGGTAATTGAACATTGTAGAGCGTTGGCTCAAGTTGTGAATTGAGTTGTGAAGTAAATGTGGAAAAAAGAAGAGGTTTATAATATTGTCTCCCTTGCCGGGATGAAGTTGTTTTTGATATTATCTCCCTTGCCGGGATGTTATTGCTTTTGATATTGTTTCCCTTCCCGGGATATTGTTGTTATACTATTGTTCCCTTGCCGGAATTCTATTGTGATTTTATTGTTTCCTTTGCCCCTATTGCTTTGTGATTGTTGTTTGGGTAAGGAAGAGTGTAAAAGCACGAAGGGTGATGCCGTGCATGATATTTGTGAGAGAGTGTTAATGCACGAAGGGTGATGCCGTGCCACACGATGTATAATGCCGTGCCATGATATGAGTGATAATGCACGAAGGATAATTCCGTGCCATGATTATGTGAGGTAAAAGCACGAAGGGTGATGCCGTGCCGATTATATTGATTCTTATGGTGAGGACGAGAGTAGAAGCACGAAGGGTGATGCCGTGCACTTGTCTTTGATTTTCTAATTCTTGCTGATAATTGAGTTATGGTGTTCTTTACGGTTATTTATTGATTTTCTGTTGTTACTTGATTTCCCCGCAGCATGTTTTCCCCCTTCCTATCTTTATCTGTACATTTCTGCCTTTATTTTTCCGCTGTATATGATTTCACTGCACAGGTTTATTTGGTAGTCTGGTCCTAGCCTCGTCATTACTTCGCCGAGGTTAGGCTAGGCACTTACCAGCAGATGGGGTCGGTTGTGCTGATACTACACTCTGCACTGTGTGCAGATCCCTGCGCTGCAGCTTTCGAACCACAGTGAGGTTGCTGCTTCCAGACCGTCAGGCGACCCGAGGTAGTCCTGCAGACGTCCGCAGGCCTGGCGTCTGCTTCTATCATTTTCTTTCTGTTTTTACTTATTCAGAGACAGATTCGTGTAATTCTATTCAGACCTTATTTGTAGTATTCTTAGACAGCCTGTGACATTGTGACACCAAATTCTGGGTAGAGTTGTACTTAGACTTCTGCAGTTTGTATTAATCTAAATTATCAAATTTCGTCTTCCGCATTGTTTTGTTATTATTATTTCCACTGCTTTTATTATGTTATTTTGGAATTGTTAAGGGATTTAAAAGGAAAAAGGGCTAGATAGTTGGAACAATCGGCTTGCCTAGGTTTAACTAGTAGGCGCCATCACGACTCCTGAGGGTGGGAAATCCGGGTCGTGACATAAACATGAGATCTTTGGCTATAAAAACATGTCATTAAGGATAAAATGAAAAATTTAAAATTAAGCATTCCTAAATATAAAAAGATACTATAATTCTTTTCTAAACGAACTAATATGGAAATAATATAATGTCACATACAATCAAACGGAGGGACTAAATTATTTCTTCTTTTCTTACTATGCAACCTGCAAATGCTAATACAAATATACGAGTCTTATAATGTTTTAGGATCTAAAGTATCAAGATTTAAAATCCGTCCTAACCTTTCACTACATACACCCTGCTCCTTTATATTGTAGACAAGAACCAAAGAAATACTACAAACATAAGAGGCAAAAAACATGGGTATTGCAGTTTTAATTGCTATACCAATTTGCCTTTCATTCTCCTTTTGGTGCCTGAAATTGCTGTATTTGATATGGTGGCGGCCCAAAACAGTGGAAAAGGAGCTGCGAAAACAAGGAGTATATGGCCGTCCATATAGATTTCTTTATGGAAATCTAAGGGAAATGATGGAAATGAATAAAATAGCTAAGTCTAAACCCATGCCTTTGAACCACGACTACACCCCTCGACTAAATCCTTTGTTCTATGAGCTCGCCACCACTTACAGTAAGTACTCATACTAATTTGCATGATTTTCTTTAGTAGCATAAAACAGTGGCGAAGTCAGGAATTTCACTGAATGTAAAAAAATGATGTTTGACTTATATATACAATATAATTTTTCGTCCTTTGCAGAGAAACTTTTCTTGTTTTGGCTAGGACCGATACCTCGAGTGACCATAATGGATCCGAAGTTAATACGGGAAGTACTATCAAATAAATCGGGTGAGTTCAGAAAACCAAAAATCAGTGCTTTCCTCAAGCTATTTGTAACAGGTTTGGGGACTTACGATGGTGAAAAATGGGCTAAACACAGAAAAATTCTTAATCCAGCTTTCCACATGGAAAAATTAAAGGTATTTTTCAATTAAGTAGTTACCTTACTTTTATGTCATTTTTTGTTCAGAGGTTTATTTTCATTTTGGCCTTGAAAATGCAGCTTATGTTGGGAGCATTTACAGAGTGTACAGAAAAAATGATAAGCAGATGGGACAAGTTAACTGCATCAAAGGGTTCTTGTGAATTGGAAATTTCACAAGAATTTCATAGTTTAACCGGAGATATACTATCAAAAGCAGCCTTTGGAAGTAACTTTGAAGAAGGGAAGTTAATATTTTCACTTCTGAGGGAACAGTGCGAACTTGTTTTCACTGCAAAACTTGCTATTAATGTCTTCCCTTGGTTAAGGTACTTCGAAATGAAATTTATAATCTTGAAAATAAGATATACTAACCGTGACCTGATAGTATAAATATTCTTTACACTGTCTGTACTGAGGCTCATGTTTATGTAATAGGTTTGTGCCAACAAAAACTAATAGAAGAAGGTTGTACATCTATAACACAGTCCGTAGTTCGCTAAAAAGGATAATAAAGAAGCGAGAGAAAGAGGTACAATCAGGAAAAGCACACAATGAAGATCTCTTGGGTTTGTTAATGAAATCTAATCAAGATGAACAACAAGGGAATAAGAACTCAAACAAGGGAATGAGTACAGAAGATGTAATAGAGGAGTGCAACTCTTTCTATTTTGCGGGTCAGGAGACTACTGCAACTTTGTTAACATGGACTGCAATTCTATTGACTATGCATCCAGATTGGCAAGAAAAAGCTAGGAATGAAGTTCTTGAAATCATTGGAAAAGATGAACCTAAGTTTGATCAACTGAACCAGCTAAAAATTGTAAGATTCTCCACTTATGATTTGTCGGCATATACTATTTTGATTTAAGTTATATACACTAACAATATAAATTTACATTATCAATATAGATTGCATGTGATAGTATGTTAGTTATCCTTTTTATCAATTTACCAATTAAGGCTTATCTTGGAGATATGCTGACACTTTAAAGATTTTTTAATATTATAAGTAAATTTTAATATGTAATAGCAAATAAGTTACAATTTTTTTTCAAGAAATTTACATGGACTTGCTTAAAGTACCTAATTGTATAAATATTACACCCGTAAATATACAGAACTTAAACTCTTTACTTTACAAGTTACTCGATTGTGCAAATATTTTGTACGTTGTCAATGCATTGGAACTTCAACTCGAAAGAGACTTTTGGGTGTTAAAACAAAAAGTAAAGGGACAACCCAGTGCACAAGACATCCCGAGTTCACGCAGGGTCCGAAGTAGGGCCACACCTAAAAGGGTGTGGTAGAGAAAGCCTACCTTAATGCAAGCATTAGTGGCTGCCTCCACGGCTCAAACTCGTGACCTATAGGTCACACACAGATAACTTTACCATTGCTCCAAGGCTCCTCTTCATGCTAAAATATCTACAGTCAAACCTCTCTATAACAACTTTATTTGTTCCGATATTTTTTTGCGTGAAATGTTGTTATAGATAACATATATTATATCACAAAATAAAACTCGGTTTCGAGTAAACTCGATTTTTATAGTGAACGCCTGTTATATAGGGATATTATTATAGAGAGGTGTGTCTGTATCTGATTTACTTAATTCTACAATACATGTAGGTGACTATGATCTTGCACGAGGTTCTGAGGTTATATCCATCAGGTTCTCTTGTTAGAGAAACAAACGAAGAGACAAAACTTGGAGACTATATAATTCCATCAGGTGCACAGCTTTTGGTGCCTCTGCAATTAATTCACCGCGACACAGACCAATGGGGAGAAGATGCTCTTATTTTCAATCCAGAAAGATTCTCAGAAGGAGTATCAAAAGCAGCCAAAGATTTGATGTATTTTCCCTTTGGTTGGGGTTCTCGTATTTGCCTTGGAATGAATTTCGCTATGATTCAAGTCAAACTTGTTTTGGCTAAAATCTTACAGAATTACTCGTTTGAACTCTCTCCCTCCTATGCTCATGGCCCGACCATGACCGCTCTGGTTCTTCAACCTCAGTATGGTGCACCTGTCATTGTGAGAAAGCTTTGACATTATCTTTCGGGGACGGAGCTAGAGTATTAATTACGGATTTGGCAGACTATATGTATTTATATTAAATTTACTTAATATGTATAAATAATCTATCTTGAGTCTGTTAAATTGTCGTGTCTGAAAATTTTAAACTCATAAACTTAAAGTTTCTGTTCCGCCTCTCCTATTTGTGGTCAGGTTCTTTGAATTAAAGTCGTAACCCTTATGATCCTTATAAGACAGTAACTTTGTTTTTGGTTACTCTGATATGAATGAAATTAAGAAAGACATATCTGTTTCCTAAGAAATGTTGAAATAAGGCGAGCTTTTATAATTGAATTTAACTTATATTGACTTGCAATGAAATTCTTACACTATCAGATCAATTTATTCTGCAATAGAAGATTATTTGTTACTTCCTCGTTTTATTTTATGAATCTTAATTTGATTTGTCACGAAGCTTGTGAACATAAAGAAGACTTTTTAATCTTGTGATATTAAACTAATGGTGTATATAACATACAAAAAATATCTTCTGAATCTTGCATGTGACATTAAATATGCCATTAATGATAAAATAAAAATATTTGAATTAAAACTTACCAATAATAAAGAGATGTTATTCCTTTTAAATAGACGAGCCCGATACCTAGGAAATCAATGATTACTTTGTTTCTTTAAATCCTTAAAACTTCAAATTAACAATTTCTAATTAAAATTCATTACTCGGGCTAGGGACCTCGGAATTCGATTCCGGATATACGCCCAGGTCTCATATTTTCCCACGGACCCTCCGGGACCGTCAGAACACGAGTTCGGGTTCGTTTTCTAAAAATGTTGACCAAAGTCAAACTTAGTCTTTTAAGAAAATTCTAAGACTCAAAGGGGCATATTTCACTCAAAACTCCTCCAAACCCCGAACTAACCGTCCCCGCAAGTCGTAAATTAACTAAAGCAGGCACGGAAAGTTTTATTTAAGGGAGCGGGGTTCTAAAAGGCAAAACGACCAGGCGGGTCGTTACAATGGCCGAATATTAAGTAAATATTCCATAAGATTTCGATTTCTTGAGTTTATCCATGATATAACTTCTATTATAATAATTTTAAAACTCTCTACTAATGTTCAAAAATATCTTATCTTTTTATTATCTTTGAATTAAAAAAAAATAAAGAGTTTGTTTCGAAATAATTTGTTTACATTTTTAAAAAAAATATTTCACGTGATACCAATTTTTTCTTTATATATACTCTTTGTTACACTTAAAAGCTGCTATAGAACCTATCAAATAGAAACCAATTCATCTCTTGATGATTTTGGAAAAAAATCTTTCACATAATCTAATGATTAAAAACTAATATTCTTCAACGAAAAAAATATTATACCCTTGCAATATTGGCTTGACTATAGCTTAATGAAGGGGTTTCAGCTTATACCCTTCAATTCCTTGAATATGCTAAATTGAAATTAATGATAGCAATTGTATAGCCAAAGTTACGTTATTTGTTTGATGTCCATTTATGCAAATTGACTCTTCAAGCAAATATTCTTCAAAAAGAAAAAAGAAACAACTTTTTTTATTTAATATTGACTGATGTTTCTTTCTCCAGGCATGTATGTTTACTTTATTATATATGTAAGTAAACTTTTATTTGGTTTTCTAAACTCTTTTTTGTTATTTATATAAACATAGATGTGTGTCCTATATATTACATTTATTTTAAAAGAATTTCGTTTTATTCAAATCTAGCTACAGTGTTTCAAAGAACTATACTTATAGGATTTTAAATGTGAAAGAGTTTTATAGTTATATGGAGTAGTTTTTTTCTTTTGCTAGAGGCGAAGTAGTATTTAAATAATTATAAAAAATAACAAAAATTCCTAACATGATTGTATATGATCATTAACCGAATTAAGTATGATAACATGATAAAAAAGATAAATTTTATTTTTAATTTAAATTCGAATTTTAGAACTTTATCTATAAATCAAAAATTATCTTTTAATTCAAATTNATATATATATATATATATATATATATATATATATATATATATATATATATATATATATATATATATATAAAATAAAGTTACCATATACTATTGACATTTATTAGCTTGCCACTTGGTTTAACCATAATGTTAATTATAAATGGTAACTTTCTTGCTTTAATATATATATAGTTTAAAAAGGAAAGTCAGACGAATACATTAAAATAGAGGGAGTATTAGTTACCTCTAATTACTTTTTAAATAATACAATAGATTATACACTAACTGAAACTAAACTCTTTCTAATTTCTCTTTAGCTAAGTGTGCATATCGGACCAAAGAGATGCGTAAACTAGTTATTTTAGAAATATGCTCAACTGCCCGTATTTATCTCGAAATTTTGTACTGGAATAAGTGTCAGCCTAAACGATAATGTGGTATAAATAACCAAACAAGTATCTTATGGTGTGTTGCATGCAACCACAACAATAGATCTAGTGTATTTTCGCAAGTGTGGTCTAGGGAGAATAGTGTATACGTATGCCTAACTCTTACCTTGAAAACGTAGAAAGGCTATTTCGATTGACATTAGGCTCAAGGAAAGATTATATAAAAAGAAGCAGTAGCAACAGATAATAATGTCACCAATATAGCAAGAAAACCGAAGCGAAAGAGCAACTTGTAGTAATAGAAATTTAAAAATAAAAAAGTACAAGACTAACACTAATACTACAGGTGTGGACAAGGAAAATATACGACTACCTATTAATTATTTAATCTTCTACCCTAATTCTCGACCTCCACACACTTCTATCAAGGATCATTGTCCTCGCCTCCTCGGTAAACTGAAGCAGCGTCTTGTCCTGCCTAATCACCTCTTCCCAATACTTCTTTGGTCTGTCTCTACCTCTCCTCAGATCTATCAATGCCAACCTCTCACACCTCCTTACTGGGGCATCATTGTCTCTCCTCTTCTCATGCCCGAACCATCTATGAATCGCTTCCTGCATCTTGTCCTCCACGGGGTGACGCCCACTTTATTCCGAATGTGTTCATTCCTAATCTTATCTATCCTGGTATGCTCATGCAACCATGTGAATATCCTCATTTCTGCCACCTTCATCTTCTAGACATAGGAGTTCTTGACCGGCCAAAACGCTACTTATATAACATAGTTGGTCTAACCGCCGTTCATTAGAACTTATCCTTAAGTTTTGGTAGCACATTCTTATCACATAGAATACCGAATGCAAACTTCCATTTCATCCACCACGCTCTAATATGATGTGTGATATCCTTGTCAATTTCTATATTTCTTTGGATTATCTTTGTCATTTCTTAGGTCTTGCTCTGTCACGCCCCAAACTACCCCCTAGACGTGACTGTCACCTAACTAACACCACCCGCTAGGCGAACCATACTTTCATACCTCAGCCACTAATTTGCAACATTTAATTAGTTAAATGAGTATCCAAATAATCTAATAATTGATTACGAACAATTAATATCTCAAAATATTATACTGAAACTCTAGCTTAAATCCCACACTAGACCATGGAGAATCTAAGAGAATTACAAAAGACATCATATGAATGACTAATAAAGATTCTTTTGGCAGCCTTCACGAACAATGCGGCGGCTCACCTCAATAACTGAATAAACTCTAGCAAACTCGTCAGCTACTAGCTCCGTCTTCACCAATAGTATCTACATAGACATACAGGTAAGGAGTGAGTTATACGTAAATATAACCCAGTAAGATCCTCGACCCGCCACTCTGAATACCTTTGGAACAAGTGTTAGAAAATACAAACACACAACGAGCACAGAAATAATATGCACAGAAATTTTTCATCATATAATTACTCTATAAGGTCCAAACAATTATTCAACAACAATACTATATATATCTCAACACAATCTACACTAAGGATTTGTCATTAACGACAGTGCATGAAATTAACCAAAGACCCCAATGAGTCCAACGGTAGCATACACAATGCCCCTAATCTACCACCGCAACATACATAATGCCCCAAATATATTACGGCAGTGAAGAAATAATTTCTAACACCCCAACGCCATAGCACAAGGCTACGCCACATCACACCATATCACAAAACAATATAATATATATTTGCGACTGGTCAATGACCACCGATTCTGCCAAGCACACGCTCGTCCCAACACATGGACCAGACAGAAAAAATATATTTTCAAAACAAGCTTTGAAAAAGCAAGCATCAAAGCTTAAAGTCTCACTCCACAACTTTTAAAACCTGACAACGTCTAGAGCACCAATCAAACAGCCTTCAATGGGCTCAATCTATATAACATATTGATAAATGTTGTCACATAATGGGTCAAACTCAATATCCCTAACTTTCTAACCTTAGAGTTAAATCTTAATATCTTACACCTTAATCCATGAATTAAAAAAGAAAAATTAATAATACCACCATCTAACTTAATTATCCAATTAAAATTTATATAAATTAATACCCGTGCTCCAAGAGATTAAGTAAAATAAAGCATCTTTATACTAAAAAAAAATAACGAACATTAGCTAGAAAGGAGTAAGTCCAAAATTCAGAATAAGGTTTTATTAAATAATTGGTTCAAAAATCTGATGCAACTTTAATAATTGAGTTCTCATAAAAAGTTTCAAATCCTATATATAATTCTACTAAACATAGCATAGTCACTGATTTCTATTGTTTCATTACTAGTTGACAAAAATTCAATTAAAAAGACATATTAAAATTTAGTAGTACCTGAACTCAACACCAAAATGTAGCTAAAGTGATTCCTTTTTTGCTTCAGAATAAGTGTTAAAACTTAATGTTAATGTGTTACGACCCAACCCCGGTCGTGATGGTGCCCAACACACTACTAGGCAAGCCCGACCATTTAAACAACCTTAACCGATTAATCACAGTGAATAAGTAAATTTTTACAACTAAAATACCAAGTTAAATGCAGAAATCCTAAATTAAATTCTAACATTCGGAAAGCCCAAAATATAAAATACTACTCAGCCCATAGAATCTGGTGTCACAAGTCTGAGCCTCTAATGCATGAGTATT